AATATCTCCAATAGTCGTCACGCCAAAGAAAGACGGAGGAATTAGACTATGTGTAGACATGAGGGAAGCAAACCAGGCAATCGAAAGAGAGAGACACACAATGCCAACTTTACAAGATTTTAAAGCTGAGGTAAATGGAGCAAAATTCTTCTCAAAGATTGACCTAAAGCAAGCATATCACCAGCTCGAATTACACCCGGACAGTCGATTCATTACAACGTTTTCTACCCATGAAGGACTGGTCCAGTATAAAAGATTAAATTACGGTACGAACGGTGCAGCCGAGATATTCCAAAATGTGCTACAACAAAACCTTAGCGATATCAGAGGAGTGATGGAAAACCAACAAAACCTGGTGGATGATATTAATATTCATGGTAAAACCCGAAAGTCACACGATGAAGCACTATATAGAGAACTGTCTACAACGGCTAGCAGCACTAAACTTGAAAGTGAAAGGGGAAAAATGTGAATTTCTACAAGACGAAATTAAGTTCTTTGGATTAAAATTTACAGCAGCAGGAACCAAACCAGATCCAGAGAGAATTGGGAATATGGTTAGAGTACCAGTTCCCAAAACTGCTGGAGAAGTTAGAAGTTTTCTGGGAATGGCCAACACCTGCCACGAATACATTCCAGATTGTGCAACTATTACAGCACCTCTAAGAGAACTAACCAAGAAAAACATTGCGTTTAAGTGGGAAAATAGACATCAGAAAGCATTTGAGCAACTGAAAAAGAAACTAACAAGTACCCCAGTTATGGCATATTTCGATACAAAGAAACGAAGTGTAGTAATCGTAGATGGCTCCCCTTATGGAATAAGTGCAATACTAGCACGTCAGAACGAACATCACAGCCAGAAGTACAAAATCCTTTCATATGCAAGCAGAGCACTCAGCCCAGTTGAGACAAGATTCTCTCAAACAGATGTTGAAGGACTTAGCTTAGTATGGGGAATTGAGCATTTTCGAATGTTCTTGATTGGATCAGAATTCGATGTGATAACTGATCATAAAGCGTTAGAATCTATATTCAATAACCCAAGATCCAGACCACCAGCCCGCATCGAGAGATGGATGATGCGATTACAACCATTCAACTACAAAGTCATTTACCGCAAAGGATCCTTAAACGAAGCTGACTACTTAAGTAGACATCTAGCTGTTATTGAGAGAGAACAAATAACTAGTACATCAGCAGAAGAATATGTGAACTATGTAACTAACTGTTCAGTTCCAAAGTCAATGACACTTGACGAGATTAAAAAAGCAACCCATAACGATCCAGTATTACAAAAAGTTAAGAAATGTCTGAAAGAGGGAAAATGGGATGAGAACGATCCTGACCTTAAACCGTTTAGACTTTGCGCCGACGAACTTACGTACAATGCATCAGCAGGTATACTGTTGAAGAACACACGGCTGGTCATTCCAACAACATTAAAAGAAAGAGCAACAAAATTAGGTCATATCGGGCATCAGGGAATTGAGAAAACGCTTCATGGAGCGCTTGATTTTTATTCATATTTTATACAATAAACCATATATTTCGTTGTGGCCAATCAGAAGCCAGTTTGATATGGATTTGGCCAGAGCCCCTCGTCGGGCTCGGTCGAACGCGCGTAAGAAGGGCTCTGGGTGCGAGAATGGTCACGATAATAACCCGGAGGTCACGATAATAACCCGGAGCCCATGAAAATAACACCAACCGAAGACAAACCATGGACTAGTGTAGCAATCGACTTCTATGGTCCAGTACCCCCAACTGGTCAATACCTGCTAGTGGTTATCGATACCTACTCAAAATTCCCAGAGGTAGAAATAGTCAACTCAACCGAAGCAAAAACTTGCATACCAAAATTAGATACGATATTTGCCAGATATGGAATACCATCAAAAATAAAAACTGACAATGGACCCCCATTTAATGGGAAAGAATTTGAAACATACGCTAAAACCCTTGGTATTGAATGGAAAACAATTACACCACTATGGCCCCAGGGTAATGCCGTCGTAGAAAGATTTATGAAACCAATTGGAAAACTCTTGAAAACAGCAGAAATTGAAGGAAAGAATTGGAAGCAAGAACTGCAAAGGTTTCTACTTCAATACCGTTCAACTCCTCATCAAACTACTAAAGTCGCTCCGTGTGAACTACTTTTTAACAGACAAATTAGGGGATACTTACCAGAACTCACAAGGAAAAAAGTAGCTAATAGACACAAGAGGGCGAAGCAGAATTTGGAGCAGAAGAAAGAAGAGAACAATGAGTACTACGACAGAAACAAAAGAACAAAGAAAGCGGGTATCAAAAAGGGTGACATCGTCATTTGCAAACAGAAGAAGAACAATAAGTTAACATCAAAGTTTGACCCAGAACATTATACGGTAGTACAACGTAAGCACAACACCATTATAGCTAAAAGAGATGGTAAGACGGTGACAAGAAACGTTTCACACTTTAAGAAGGTAGTAATGGAGGAAAGCGAGGAGGAGAAGGACGATACAGGACCGGGACGATCGACGGAAACAGAGGAACCACAAAAGCAAGAACCAAGTGTAAGGAGATCAACAAGAATGAAAAGACCGGTAATTCGATATCAGTACCAGACTTGATGTTATAAACAGTAAAACGATATAAACGTTTAAATTATAGAAACATCAGACAATGTTGATTTACATAAGTACGAAAATAAGGCAAGGACATTTTATTAAGTGGTTGACATTCAGTTAAAAAAAATAGCGGGAGAGTAATGTAGTATTTGTAGGATGCGATAAGTTAATAATTAACTTCTAAGCATGTAACAAACGTTGATTGACATTTGTAATAAATCATCATTCAGTCTATGCTATAGTATATATATATATATACATTTTGGAAATACTCTGTTGCCACTCATTGCGACCCCTATGGCCAATCACGATTTTGCTCTAAATGATGTGAGCTAAAGCTTTGTCCATAATGAACTGCGGAAGTTGAAAAGCAGTAAAGCTACTGGTCTCGACGGGATTGCTGCAAAGCTGCTAAAGGATGGTGCAAGTGTGATTGTCATGCCAAATCGCCTTAATAAAAAAGATGGCGGCTGTCGATCTACCCACAATGCATTGCAGTCGGAAGTGATTTAAAACAACAGTTAAACGTTTTTTAAATAACACACAAAAGACAAGACGTTAGTTATCCCTATCTGTTAAAGTTTTATGTCATTGTCTGTTTTTCTTGTCACACATTTTTGCGGATTTATGCTTGCTGCACGCAAAGGATTGTAGGTAGATCGACATGCCGACATCTTTTTTATTATGGCGAATTGCGCATCTTTTGTAAAGCAAATAAATTTCTTTGGAAAGGAAGGAGGAAAAGGTTACACCTATTTTTAAATTGGGCAAAAGAAATAAAGAGAACAATTATAGACCCTATTTCAATTCTCCCTTTGATCTTCAAGATAATGGAACGTTCAATCCAAGTCCAGCTTGTCGTATTTCTCACAGAGAAAAACGTCTTTTCCGTACATGCTACAATCAGGGTTCCGTAAGAATCGTTCCACTAAAACTGCTGTCATCCATGTCGTTGACGATATATTGCAACATAGGGATAAGCAGCAAGTGACAGGTGCAGTGTTTGTAGATCTCAAAAAGGCCTTTGATCTTGTCGATCATGAATGCCTTTTTTACAAGTTATATAACACTATAGAATTAGAGGTCACCCTGAGCTGGTTTCGGAATTACCTCACAAACCGGACACAAATAAAGAGAAAATTATGCAAACGAAGTATCTCCTAGCCGATTGTTGAATTATGGCGTTCCCCAGGGAACTGTGCTGGACCGTATGTTTTTATTTGTCGTACACATTAATAATATGCCAAAATGTCTATTAAGCTGCTCAATCAGTATGTACGCCGATGACACAATAATTTATTTTTCTGGTTCTGATACCAATGAGATAATGAAAACCCTTCAAAATGACTTATATCGTGTTGCACAATGGGTGACTTCCAGTAGATTTTTTTTAAATTACAGCAAAACTAAGGTTATGCTTTCTGGAACAAATAAAACTTAGTCGTTTCGGAGACTTTACCATCCAACAACAGGGCAAACTATTTGAAAGAGTGCCAAAGTTTAGTTACTTAGGCGTAATGGTAGATGAACAAAAATCATGGAAAGAATATGATACGGAAGAGATCTGCAACAGAGTGAGCAAGCGAATACGGTCTTGCTTGACAGTTGAGGCATCTGAATGTGTTTACAATTCAATCGTGTAACCTATTTTTGACTACACTGATGCTGTATAGTACGAGCTTCCCGCTGGGTGTTCTCAAAGCCTCCAAAAACTTCAAAACGAATAATACTACAAGTAGAAAGCTCCAGAAATACGTTTGACATTTTAAATTGAGTAGACCTATCTACTCGTTGAGGCATTTAAATGTGTTTACAATTCAGTGGTGTAACCTATTTTTTAATTTTACTACAATGATACTGTATGGACTGGGTCCGAGATGCCTGATTGGGTAGACTTGTCTACTCGTAGACTAATTCACAAGTGTGTTTTAGTATTTAAATGTTTGAACAATATAGTCCCAGAATTTTTAAGTGGATATCTTGTGCGACGCCACCCCCCAAATAATTCTGAACAGTTGGTCAAAATTTGAAAAGTTGCTCAAAATAATTATTTACATATTAAAGGAAATATTATATTATTTACAAAAATTTTAGAAAATCAAAACAATTTTCAGAAAATCAAAACAATTTTCCGAAAAAAAATTCGAGAAAATTTTTTCAAGGACAAAAAAGTTGGTCATTTTCATTGAAACAGCTGGTCATTATGGTATGACGTCCCCCCAATCTGGAATCGTTCGCCACGACCCTGCTTATCTTATAAAATTGATGTCACATTCTTGAGCCAACAACCCACTGCTCCAATTCTTCTTCGCCAACCTTTGGTTTCTATATGGCACATTTTGGCAAACCTTTGATAGTCCATGGTAGTCCAAATCTTCCCCAGTTTCAACAAAAATGACAAACATCACACCAGTTAAGGAGGTAAAGCCTCTCTTAACCCATTTATCATCATGGATCATAAAATAAATGGATAGGACTCTAGCTGACATAAGCAAAAACAACCTAGTTGCAATTTGTGACGTCACGCGTATTGCAAAGTTCTCAGCATTTTTCAGTTGTTTCGCTATAGGCCTACTTTCCGCTTTAAAAGAGTAATATTGAAGCATAAACTGGTCTAATTGTTTTAAAAACATGCCTAAGCCACGACAAAGTATTCAAGGTAAATTTTTTTTGTCTTTGTTTTGTATTTCTTTACATTTGTAGCTACGAAATTGGCGTCCCCAATTTTAACGAAATTTGCGATGCATTTTTCACTGTTTAGTGCTTGAAATATTTGCTAAAATTGACTGGGAATACTTAGAGATTTCATCGTAGAATGGCGTAGTCATATTTATTTACTCTTTGATTAAAATGTTTAGCTGTATTATTGCTAAACATGCCGTTTTTGAGAATTTGGTTTGCAACTAGGTTTCAACATCCAATCACACCATCAACCAATTGAAAACATTAGATCACGTCGGCTAGTTTCCTATCCATTTATTTTATTATCTATGCTATCATCAAGGATGACAGCAAAGATGACTGTGCTACATTATTGATTGATTGATTGATTGATTGATTGATTGATTGATTGACGTTTATTTAACCACGAAATCTATTTCAATAATAAAAAAGATACTCGCTCTTCCATTAAGATGTGTAATTACAATATCTAAATTAATTATACGGTGTTAAAAAACCATATCGATAATAGCTACAAAAATATATAAAATTACTAAAAGACTATTAGAAAAATAGTTAGAAATGAGAGACTTTATGTGCTATTGCTGTTACATGCAGTTTCATTCTCGTCGGCAGACGGATCGAACTTGTCAAAGGACACTTGTTGACCGAATATACGAGAAGATAAACTTCTCAAGGAAAACTTGCTTGTCTGTATACGGACCTTAACATCGCCGTAATGGTAGCGTAGCGGTAATGAATTCAGATTTACACCTCTCTGATATTTTCGTTATCGACTGTAACTAGCGGCTCTTCTGTTTTGTGTTTTGGTTTGAGTTTTTTGTTATAGACTATAAGTAAAATGATGCCTACAAGAAAGCCTATGGTAAATGATGCCCAGGCAATTGGTGTCAGTACACTCATGTGTGTCTCGTCATCAGGTGATTCAACAGCCATCCCTACCATGAGAAAGTTCTCTAAGGATTTTATACAAAACATGAAACAATGAACAGCGAATGAACCGAAACCAAACGATTCGAGAACAGCTTCTGACACAAAAAACGTAAGCGGAAAGCTTTCGAGAAGTTTAGAGCATCTGCCAAATAACGAAAAGTCATAAAAAGGCATATTCCCACAGCACCTCTGGATACAGGCTACAGCTGTTAATAGAACACACGATATTAACCAAAGAGAAGGCAGAAGATAGAAAACAAGAACTTTAAATTCGTACGCGAAGATTACAATTGCAAATAGACGGGACATTAAAACAACCAATTGATTGATAAAATATACAATGGTTGGCAGCACTTTGAAATTATAGCCTTCTTTGGTTATTCTTGCTTTCTCAAGAGTGGTGATATTCCATGCTAAGGAAAGCAAGGAAAACACGGCTGAGAGGACGGTAGTCCATGGGAACTTCCACTGACGTAACATGATGTAAACCTGTAGACACCATTGAGGAGTGGACTCCATAAGTGTCTCTACATAATGTATCCACGCAAAGTCGTATGTCGACTTGTTGGACGTAATGATTATATCTCTGTACTGTTTGCAATCCGTGCAATTGCATTCCGTGTAGTTTTCTCTGCAAGGATGGTTATCCCGATACTTATTCTTCCAGTTGATGAACTCTCTACCAAAACTCACAAATATTGACGAACATAAGAACATTGAATAGCAGCTGGCATCTGCACAAGTTTTTTCAAGTGTAGCTTGATAGGTAGCCATACCATTGACGATAAAATATGGAACGATAATAAAAAATAATGTCAATCCAAACCAATGATATTCTTCTTTATGCTTGTAGTGGACAGCCACAACAATATCTGTGACAAGGTCAGATACGAACAACACCAGTCCTGTGATCAGCATGAATAATTCTTTCTTTCCTCTCATGTTGATCTGTCAATTGAAAATATGAAACATGAAACTGTGTTCCTATTGGATCTTCAGAACGCGGCAGAAACTAGTGTAGCAGATGATGGTCATTTTGAGAAATGTTAACACTTATATAAATATATATATATATATATATATATATATATATATATATATATATATATATATATATATATATATATATATATATATATATATAAATCATGTTCATTAACATAAACTTTACCTTTGATTTTCTCGGTTTAGACAAAGTTTATTTTAAAAATTACTTCGCCAATGAACTCGTATAAGATGAGTCGTTTTTTAAGCCATTTAAAGCACTTGTAGCCGTGTTTTATCACATATATATATATAAATATATATGTTTTATATATAAATATATATGTTTTATCACATATATCCGCTATGCGCGTCGTGTTTTATATGTGATAAAACACTCCTATACACGTGCTTTAAATAGTACATATATATATATATATATATATATATATATATATATATATATATATATATATATATATATATATATATATATATATATATATATATATATATATATATATATATATATATATATATATATATATAT